GTGACACGAAGACATGGACAACTTAACTACCATACAACGCAATTTTTGACAGAACATGGTAATTTTGGTGTACACACGCTCAGAATTGGCAAAACGTTACATGATCTATGTCGCTACTGTCAGGCCAAAGATACAGCAAAAGACACAGCTTTCCGCTGCTGTAGATGGGAAAAACTAAGGTTCGACCTCAATCTGCAACTGGGGAGGACATAACGACAGAAAACATTATCTACAAAATGACTGAACGCAACAGAAACTGGAGCAAAATTAGCACATATCTGTCTACTATACTAAGAACAAAAGAAAAAGACGAAAGAGACTCACGATGTACACTCCTGAACCCCTAATCACCCCGGTGGAGGGGGGACGTAGGGACCTATGACAAATCAGAAGACACGCAAATAATATACAGCCCACTGCCCCCGACGTTATGCCAAACCGGCGGATCCGAGGGCAGTAAGAAGGGCGATTCGACATGGCCTCTTGTTCGGTTAGCACTTGCGCCGACTACGCCAAAAAAAAGTAGTAGAAGTAGTAGCAGTAGCAGTAGCAGTAGCAGTAGCAGCAGCAGTAGTAGTAGTAGTTGTAATAATAGTAGTAGTAGTAGTAGTAGTAGTAGTAGTAGTAGTAGTAGTAGTAGTAGTAGTAGTAGTAGTATTTTAGTAGTGTAGTAGCATTACATCGTTTTTCAAAATTTCTCGCTCGTCCGGACTTTTCAGATATAACTGAAGGACAGAACGCCAACCAACACATAGGGTGAGACAGATGGTGAGAAGTTTAACTCCAATGCTCTCAGGTACCTCTTCAATGACTAAGAGAGAACCTGTCGCACAATATTGGTGGTTGGCAACAACACCGCCTTCTGCATGGTTCCATTTTTCTCAACTCCTGTTTTGTCACTCATTTAAATGGAGTCTATATTTTACAATCCTCCAATCTTCAGCAACAAGCCCACCAGATGAAATAACAACAGGTGCAATATAACCTCTATTAATTTGTATAGGTTTTTCCGTTCAATCGAGAGTGGCTGGTATTTTTTTTTCTGCAATTGGTGACAGCAGGTTATGATCTAATGGGATTATTATTATTATTATTATTATTATTATTATTATTATTATTATTATTATTATTATTATTACTATTATTACTATTATTAATATTATTATTGCTTTACTTTTTACATTTGTAGTGTGTTACTCACGACGCAACGAGTCTCCAAACCCCTTGTTTGGCGTTGAGCCCTTTTAGAGTACTCCTCTGTTACTATCATATATAAAGTCTGTACTTTTAGCCCTAGTATTCCATTCTACGTTGTCCAGAGGACCGCCAAGTAGCATTTCCGCGATAGCGCCACCCACACGCGCTCTGCGTCACCGCCCAATCGCCAGAATGGGAAAGAAATTACGACAGGGGTAGGGTGCTTCACAGGAGTAGGACTAGCCCTTGTGAAGCAAGCAAACTCGTTTTGTTGGAACAAATTCGACATGAGATTGTCCAGGAATAAAAACGCGGATCTCCTTGTTGAAAGGGAGAGGCTTCTCTCTGAGCCACCAACCCACCTTCAAAACTATTTTTGTATATAATGTGTTAATCTTTCTAATTTACAGTTCACGTTGGCTCACAGAGTGAGAGCTAGGACAACAATTGGGAATAAAGAGATCTTCGCTTCTTCATCCTTGTCCTCTCCTCTTCAGGTACACTTACACTTCAAGTACACTACCACACTTTTCTGGTGACAAGTCGGGGAGCCTGACCCGGCTTGAGTAGTACCCCGCTGGAGGAAATACCTGGGACGAGAACATTCCCCAACCAAACGCAGTGCATTTTGCATTCCAGTTAGGAAGGAACCCTGACACCATTTGTTTATAACATGCAGTACATTCACGAGCATAATGACCGAAGTAGGTCACGCATTCATGAGTTAAGTCTTGTGATTTGAAATATTTCTCCATAATATAGAATTGTATTCTATAAGCACGCTACTGGTTCACTTAACCTAAATGAGTTCACATAACCTTCATTTAACCGCGATTTCAGTTACTAGGGAAAAGGGAACCATATTTTCTCAACTTCTGTTTTGCACTCCACGATGTTTTTCTTGAAAGTAGAAAGTTAATAAGTAGTATCACTCTTAACTATATGTCACTTAATATTATATTATAAAAGTCCCGCTATCATAATAAAACCAAACCGAAAAAATTAAGAAGCAAAAACTGGGTCAGTTAACCTACCTCGACCTTACTGTCGACAAGAAGTGAGAGTCATGACCGGTCGCGAACTGGCGTTGAGTCTTTAAGAATCACAAGGTTCAATGTGTTTTAAGCATGGTTCAGTGTCGGGTAAAGATTATGTATACTACTTCATGGTAGTATAGTCTGTAGTACTTAAGATTGCACCCCTCACTCCCTCCAGCAATTGCACAAACTGTTCTCTTGATTTTCAGATTGCTTCATCTCTGTTTTAAACCTCGAGAGGCTGAGTTTACCTCAAAACAATTTGAAAATTCTGCCTGTTGGAATATCTTATCTGAAGAACCTGAAGTATTTGGATATTTCAAAGAATCCAATTTCTTTTGAAAATGATTCTTTGAACAAAGAATTGCATACGTTATCTATGATTGAAGTTTTGATACTATCTGGTACATATGTGAACGAATTAAAAACAATTCGTCTACTAGATCAGACAAAACAAATGTATCCAGCGTTTTTTTTAAGTCAATTAGACGTTAGCAATTGCAATATTTCTCAAATTAGAGAGGACGAAGTTACTATATTCAGTCAGCAATATAAATTATCAGTAGTGAATATGTCGCATAATAATTTAAAATTTATTCCACATGAGTTATTTGCGGTTTTAAAAAATTTGAAAATTTTAGATTTATCACATAATTATATATCTAAAGTTCCCATATTTTATTTCGAGGCTACGCAATTGGCAATTTTAGATTTGTCATGGAATAAATTGCCTTCTCCTGGTGTTATTATCAAAGGAAACATAATTGCTTTAAATATGTCACATAATGAAATAAAGAGGTGGGAATACATTATGCTATCCCCATTCGAAAATGTGTCTATTTTATCTCATTTAAATTTATCTTACAATTTTATAGAAACGTTTTCGAAATCAATGTTGCAAGGATTTTCTTTGCTACAGTCATTAGATCTCGGGAAAAATCCCCTTAATTGCGAAGAGTGTAAAATGGAGGTTTTAAGGAAGTGGATGATGACTGAAAAAGCAACATATTTGTACAACATTGGTACATCCTCTGAATTGAAGTGCTCATTCCCAACACATGACTTTGGACAATCTGTTTTCAATGTTACCACTAATAGAGATGTCTGCAAGAATACAAGACGAGTTACAGCTGTCATTGTTGTTATTGCCCTATCTTCAACAGCCCTGTCTGCGTTACTAATCATACTCCTTCTATGCTGCTGCGGAAAACGGTACGAGATCATTTACGCTCTGCATTTATTGAAAGTGAAGAAAAAATGGAAAATATCAGCCAGAAAGGAACATGATTATGATGTCTTTTTGATTTACTGGTAAGTATTGTATTTTATTTCACAACGTGATGTAAGATCCTTTGGTAATGAAAGTCAACAGCACATATTTTCTCATATTAGTAACGGTTATAATGTAATATTATATTACCACTTCTGTCCCACTAATTCTTCAGCGAAGGATTAAAACAGTTTTAACCAATGAAGTTCGAAAGACCCTAAGACCATTACTGCAACATTTGGCATTTGAAAATAAATTTAGGTTAACCCTCGAAAACGTAAAGTGAGAAAGGTAAAGCTTCAATTTAAAAAAATCATCATATCTGTCAAGGGATCGTAAAAAATATGGTGCTGGTCCCATTTTCGGTGAATTCGCGGTATTTCTGAAAATTAGAAAAGATAACATTTCACTACTACTAAGTTGAAGATATAAATTTTTCTCTAGACCAAGTCTGTCGTAAATATTCAGCGTTTTAAAAATGTCATGATTGTTTCAAATAATGAGTAGTTTTTGAGAAATTTCTGTCTGAAATATATACAATTTTTACAAAAAATTGAAAAACCGCTTCAATTTTAAAACATTTCTGTCTTTAAATGTGTCAAGGAATAGTAAAAATGGTGCTAGTCTCATTTGTGGCGAAATATTTGTATTTTCAAAAATTGCAAAACTTAAACATTTCAAAACTACAAAATTGAATATAAACATATTTGCCTTAAACAAAGTCTGTCCTAAACAATTAAGCTCATTACAAATGGTCATGTACATTTTTTTAACACTTAGTTTTCATGTCATTTGAGTCGTCAGTCCCGTCATTTTGATAAAATAATTGCATATGTGTCATGTTTGTTGAACTTGTTGAACTGAAAATTAGAAAATTTCGAAATAATACGACAAATTATGCGCTGTTGTGGCACCTTTATTTACTTTCTTGCCCTGATTTCGTAAGAAGAGAAGATATTGAAATCATGCAGCGAAAAGCAGTGAATTAGCAGGAATAAAACGCTTATTGCCAGAGCCCTGGTAACTAAAAAGTGGATCACTTCTGTTCATATATAGAAATTTACTTCCTGTAGCACATGGTGTATCCAGAAACCATGTTTTGTTGGTCCTTGATGTCGAAAAATTGATTGACGGTATAACGTCTGTCTGTGGCCAACGCTTGTGCCTAAACCGTTCAGTAGATTTTCTCAAAAATTGATATTCTCCGGTCGATCTGAACGAATTCGAGGTAGTAGTTCGTTGGTAGTTTCTAAGGGATATTTTGATTTTTGAGGATACTTTAAATGTAGCCCAAATTTTTAAATATTTTCTCCAAAATGTCTCAAAATTTATTGACTAAACTTTGTTCTCGAATAGCGTAAAGGGCGCTTAAGGGAATGTTGTAGATCTCATTTTCGTTAAAAACCCTGATTTTTCGAAAATTGCAAAAGTGCAATATTTTGCGCGTCTTCTTACAACTATAATATTGAAGAGAAGAAGTTTTTCCTTAATGAAATTTGTTTTGCAAAAATAAATCGTGAAATAAGATCATGTACAAATTTCCAAAAATATCAGTACTTTTTGCGTAATATTGCCCGAAATATGGGTAATTTTTTTAAACAAATTTAAGTTTTATTTTTTAAAATTTTCTTCTCGTATGTATCAAGGGACTCTAAAAATATGGTGTTAGTTCCATTTGCCGCCCACTCTCCGTATTTTTGAAAATTGCAAAATCAGCTCTTTAAAAAATGTAATCTACATTTTTTGAAAATACGAGTAAATTACGCGTAATTTGTGTTTGAAATATATGAATTTTTAAAATAAATTTCTCGAAAACTGCTTTTTTAAATAAATTTTTCCTATGTGTCAAGGGATAGCAAAAGTATTATACTAGTAGGATTTGCGGTAAACTGTCCATATTTTCGAAAACTGTTAAATATTAACATTTCACAACACGTGACCCTGCCGATAAAAAAATCATAACACAAAACAAGAAATGCCCTTTAACACAAGAATAATGAATCCAAATTCACATTCACAATTAATACAAATACATATATAGTTCCCACTCATACTGTTTATGTTATTGGTTTAATGCCAGTTGCGTTATCAAGGTATTTACCAAATTTATTACAATGCATGGCCTTCTAATAAATATATATTTTGTACGCGCAGGGTAATATATGGGGATGTCCACTTTCCTGAATATGATGATATTGCCGTCAGCCCGTGAATTCGCTCTATCCACCATTTTACCATTCCATTCCGTCAGCCTCGCCATTTCCACATCACCCCACTTCTTATGCGTTTCTACGCAAAACCTACTAAGTCCAGTCATTCCATTGAATCCCACTAAGTACTGAAGTCAGCGCATTCTCCAACACGCCCAATCTCCAATAAGTAATTTTACTCTCTCCAAAACAGAAGAACTGCCAGTATAGGCTACACCATGCTGTCGGCTCGGCATCCCTCTGTGTCTTCTCCAATCAGTATAGTCTTTCGATTGTTTTTCAACAATTAAATAGTCAGTGTTTTTAGTTACCGTATTGACTCTTATTATTAATCATTGTGACGAGTCCAAATGGACCATCAGATTATCATCATTCAATTATTTCATGCTTACTTATATTTCATACGGAAAAATAATCGTCTTTCTTTTGTCGACTTATCACGATTTTCCATTTGCTTTGTTATTTCAGCAGTAACTGATCATTAAGTTCTAAATCGCCTCACCATTGAGAAATATTTAGTGGTTATGCATCGTTCGCAAATCGTGTATTTGTGCTCATTTATCATCGCATTGTGTGGTAGGTGTTCATAGCAAAACATTTGATGAGCTTGTCTTATCTTGTTGAGAACAGTTATAAAAGAAGAAAGATTTAAAACCTAAAGGGTTTTTGTTAAACAAGACAAAAGGAAAGAAATAATCATTACTTGGCATTAAAAAAAAATTGCTTCAACTTAGACGCAACGCGTCTCCAAATCCCTTGGGGGGGGGGCGTTGAGCGCTTCGCGCTTTTTGGAGTAATCCTCTTTAAATTGTTGCGCGGGAGTAACCCTCCATTAGTTACATAATTCGTCATGTCTCGTCTGTCAGTTGCCATGAGGACCTCCAGATAGCATCTCCGCGTACGCGCCTCTGCGTCACTACCCAGCGGCTAGAACTGGGACGGAATCCTAAAAGGGGTAAGGTTTAGGACGGTTCATAGGAGTTGGACTAGCCCTTGTGAAGCTTGCAAACTCGTTTTGTCGTAACACGTATCGCATGAGGTACTACGGGGATTCTAACCCGGAATCAACCCGGAACCTCAGTGGTGGAAAGCAAGCGACTTCACCATTGAGCCATGAGAGCATTACGATGTTACTCTTTGTATGTTCCAAAAAGAAAGAAGTATTCTTTCAAGTATGCCTTGCAATAACTATGTTGTAGAATGTAAATTTAAAGAACCCGTGTTATTCTGCAATGAAATGAAAGGCGACGAAGACATAATTCTTTCATTCATATTCATGCCTGAGGAAGCTTTTTTTTCATTGCACATCACCCTAATTGGAAAGAGAAATCTGTAAAAACTAAAAGGAATATTATTTCGCAAAGTGGGTAGAATTCCTATTGGAAAGAAAAATTAGATGATCAAAATATGCTATAATGCACCGAATTATATCAATATAAATGCATTTCTATAAATTGTTTAATTTAATATAAATTTAGTATTTTTCTTTAATAATTTGTTTATAAATATCGATTAATAAATAACATTTATAATAAATATAATTTAAGTTTATGTATATTGAAAGTAATCGTAATTTCGTATAGTCTTCGACAATTTACTAATTTTATTTCGTATATGAGCTACGACTTCTTCGTGTTGATGTTAAATCCGGCGTTGATGAGGGCTTGGATGTCGTCCCGCAGAACGTCGGGGTCATTATGTAAGAGGAGGAAATCATCGTAATAGATGTGTGCTACAGCCTGGCAGATTTCGCCTAGGGCCGCCCTCATAGCAGTTTGCATTATCAGGGGGGACATGGACCATCCCATTGGGATGGCCCGAAACTGATAATGCCTTTTTCCGGTCGAGATTCCGAAGAGTGGTGCCGTTCCAGGCGCCAAGGGCACGTGGTGGAAACCGTCTCTGAGGTCTAATCGAATAGCGTAACTAAATTCTTCAATATCTTGCAAAATCTGGGTAGTCGACGGCAAGCAGACAGCCGGTAGGGACGTATACTATTTCGTCCAAGGCGACATGTCGTAGATGAGCCGGAAGCCGCCACTACGGGCTTCGGGATGATAAAACAGGTGAAGCTGTTGTTAGGCGGGTCGGGGAGCTCCTGGATGATGCCCGCCACAACCATGTTGTCCAGGGTCTGAGTGAGCCTACGTGATGTCCGACGTTGTGCTATACGTACACCTGCAGGAGGTACGTGGTGTACTCCCTGTTGAAACAGCGGGTGTTGGACTGCAGGTGTCGAGCGCTGATGCAATTGCAGCGGCGGGACGTCGCGCAGAGGCGGCCGGCGTGGCCGTCTCGGTGCGACGCTCGCGGCGATGTCCTCCGATTCTGCCGCTGCGTTGTCTGGTGTGTTGTCGTCCTGATCGCGTTGAGAATCACTCAGATCCCGGATAATTGGTCGCCAGAAGGCCCAGTCGATGGGTATCGGCTGTGCCTCTGGCGGCGCCGTGTCCTGGTTGACGACGGGTAACAGCTGGTGGCGAACGCGGATGGCTGTTCGCCATCCGCGTTTGAGCGCTATTGTTAGCATACGTACGCGCTCCCGAATGAACGTCTTGCCGTCTTCTGGGAGATTGTCAAAGTGGGGGCGCGAATATTTTTAATATTGCTCCTCCACTCTGTCCTATTTGTTAAGTTCGAGATTGACAATCTGTGCGTCGATATAATCCCAGGCGCGCTCGATATCGAATTTGGGCAACGCGCCGACTGGCTCACGCGCCGCCAGCAGCTGTTGCAGGGCCGCCAGGAGTGCCACAGCATGAACTTGCGTGGTGGAGTCCGTCATCGTCTGTGATACACAGGTATGTGACGCCGGGAAATCAGTTATGTGGGATTGCCGTGGTGGAGGATCGCGAGGCGTTGATGATATTGATGCTTGCGAGGACTGCCTGTTCTTTTGGCGTCGACCGTTGCCGGCAATTCTACCTTTGGGAAATTTTGGAAATGTCCGGAAGTCTTCATATAAAATACCTCCAAATTTTGAAAAAACGTTTTTTGAAAATCTCAAAGTTTCGACTCGAACGAAATGAACAGGGGTTTCTTTTGAGAAATTTGGAAAATATACCAAGCATGGTTTAGACGTTGGTAGTGTGCACAGACACCAGACGGACGGACTGACAGACGTTTTGAAAAAATCACTTTTTCGGTATCTAGGGACCCCAAAACGAGCATTTCCGTTGAAATCGCGAAATCGATTTTCCGTAGCATTACATATTACTTTCCCTACACCAGAAATAAAACTACATACGTATACGAGAAAGAAAAAATTGCATAGTTTCAAAAACCATGAGTGTTTATGAGAAATTTCTGAAAGCACTTTAAGAAAACTATCTACATATAGGCTCTCGTCGTTTTTTTTGTCTCGCAAAGAAAGTAATGTAATGCTGCTCGAAAAAAAGAAATTTTGTCAGAAAAACTCTTATTACAGGGCTCCTGCAACGAAAAAGGGGATAAACCGAAATGGCAAATTTAGAAAAAAAATCTCTCTAACCCATGTAGGTTAAACCAATGTTCTGTGGCTCCTCGATACCTAAGAATCGATTGACGGCATAACGTCTATCCATCGTCAGTCTCTTCCTCTGCTTCAATAATGCTAGCGGCTAAACCGTTCAGCCGATTTTCACCAAAAAATGATATTCTTAAATTGATAAGGCTGATGTCACGGTCACTTGAATTTGAAACCGACATTTTTATTTTATGTGGTTCTTTACACGGAGCCCTGGGACATATTCAAAATTTTCAAAAAAATTGGCTTCATCGTTTTCAATTAAACTTTGTTATTGAGTAGTGTAACGGGCGTTTAAGAGAATACGCAAGTCTCGTGTTTGTTAAAAACCCTAATTTTTTGAAAATTGACAAAATTCAAAATTTTTTCGACGCCTTTTTTCAACTACAGTTATTAAGAAACATTTTAATGAAATATATTTGTGAAACATATCTAAAATAACACCATTTTGAATTTCTTGAAAATTCGCGTATTTTGTGCGAAATTTTCTGCCAAACATAAGCAATTTTATTGTCTTTAAACAATTTTTTCTTAAAAACGGCACAGAATTTTTTGATTACATTTGGACTTTAGATAGCATAAAGAGCGCTTACGAGAATCATGGAAGTCTGTTTTTTCATGGAATCATGGAAACCTGAGTTTTCGAAATTGAAAAATTAAAAAAATTTTGCGATTTCTCACATATACAATTGTGAAGATACAATTTTTAAATGAAATCTGTTCATCAAGAACCGATACTCAAATAAGGTTACTTATTGAACTCAAATAAGGGCTTTTTCAAAAATTTGAGTATTTGAACGTTAAACGTAGTCGCCCGCTCCGAAAATTCTTTTTTTTCATTTATTTTCTTCTTGTATGACCATGTGGCCTTTCAAGGGCTTGGATACAATAGATTATTCATTTGTTAGGAATGGGGATCCTTGGCATCGCTGCTCCGTTTTTAAGATGTTGGATTGGGATAGGCTTCATTTAGTGTTTATTTAACATTTGCATGCATTAATGTTAAGGTAAATGTTTGATTTGGTTTTATCGTGTGCTTATGGGGGGCGAAACTTATGTTTTGGGAATTTGGATTTGATGCGGAAAGGGTGCACAGCATTACGTCCTAGGTTAAATTTATTTGTTAAGTGAGAAATGTTGAGTGTATTCACATATTCAATGAGATATATTCTAAGACAACATAATGTTCAGAAAAAAGGCAGTTTAAAAAATAATGAGAGCCTTCTTTTAGAGAATTTTGTTAAAGCAATTTTGGAAAGTTATCATTTACTCTCATGATTTTTAAAAATATTCCAATTTTCTTAATCCGTTTATGCTACCTTTCAATTATATTATTTGCCGGGTGTGTTAAGCAGGAGTGCAGAGGAGGCCCTAAATTATGTTCACTACGCGCATTAATGCGCTTTGTGCCAATGTTGCGATAGGTCAGTGGCATCGTTTCAGTTATCTCCGTAGTTACATATGTAGGTCAAACAACTTTAAAGCCTTTTTCAAAGAAAAGTTTGAAAATTCACCCAGGGGCTTCAACTAAATTACCAAAATTTAAAGAATTATTTTTAAAATCCCAGGGCATAAATTCGGGCCAGATCGTTAATATAAAATTAATTTTGACAAAACATATACGAGTAGTTTAGGCACTAGTGTTGCACACAAACCGACACACGGGCAGATTTGGTACCGGACGGACGGAAGTCCTAAAACAAAATCAACGCTCTCTTGGTAACTGAAGACCACAATACTATTTTTTCCGTGTAAATCTGGAAATCCATTTACTACAGCATTGCACATATACCTCTCTAAAACCTTC